GAGTATGTAGACGCTATGATCCAGGCAACAGCAGCATCAATAACACAATCAATGTGACAATATATGGACCAATAGCTCGAGATCCAAAGGGAATAGAATATGCAGTGCATGGAAACAATAAACAGGAGATTCACACAATTAGAACAAATGAATCTACCAAGCAGTGAGAATAACGATGAGAATAATAACAGACAAGCTTCAACTACACAACAACTAGCAAGTCAGAATCAGGAGTCAGGACAACAATCAAGACAACAGGCAGCATGCACAGAAGGTGAATCAAACCCAACTCAAGATAACTATCCACCCACCCTGATAATTAATAACTTGTTAATGAGTAACCCCGAAGTGCAAAGTACGGAGAGGTGGAATGGAAAAGAGCTGGTAAGGTATAAGGTGACAATGAGGAAATTTCCGGCAATAGACTACACAACAATAAAACAGCTTCTAGTAGTTCAAGGAATAAGCAATCCAAAAGCTATAGAGACAGAATGTATTCGCTTATGGTAGATTACAACTGGGCTGAGGGTCAAAAAGCAATCGAAATACTTCCCCAAAAACCAAGTATATCTAACAAAGTTTGGAAAGCACTAGCCTTCGGTTTATTTGTAAATCTACAGGAATTTGTATACAAAAATATAGTTGATAACGTAAAGCAATAGACGACGATACAGTACTACAAACAACAGAGAATAAGATTATAGCAGTAAGAAAGAGAACCCGAAATAACTCATTTCAAAATATATCTGAATGGATGTTAGCTTTTAAAGCATATATGGATGTAGTGCTTATATTGTATGAAAATCGTGAATCTGAATTAAATTCATACAGAGATCATATAAATGAGTTATGTATTAAGTACGATTTTTAGGCTGTATTGAGGTATGATGAAGACCGCAGAATTGGCCTTGTGATGAATCGAGACATGACATTAATAGATCGGGATATCGAAGCGGAGGGTAAAAACTTCGATGCATCAGCTACCAAAAGATTAAGAAATAATTAACAATGTTTTAGCTAGCCAAATGTATCTTGGTATGATGGCAAAAAAGTATGTATCAATTAGAATAAAAGGTCATGTACAGAGAACAGAAATTGTGGCAGAATACATGCATGCTTGATATGCAAAAGACTCAGCCATAACAAAAAAAGCTGCTATCGAAGAATTTCAAGGTTCAATTCAACTGGGGCAGCAAAGAACGAGACACAGAAAAATGAGTAAAAAAAAAAAAAAAAAACAACAAATAACAACAAAGGAAAG